GAAATAAAATTGCACTGGCAATGAGATGCAAAAAGTTGAACTGCTGATCAGTCACCCAAAATCCTTATCTGTGAGAAAACATCAGCTCTTTTTTTCTTTTTTTACCTCCCCCTAGTTTTCTCTTTCTCTCCAGGCTAGGTAATGTCATTAAGCCTCTATTCATAGATCCCCATTTAATCTGGTGGCACTTAAGTAGTCTTTAAAGCACCCCTTGTTCATGTGTGTTAAGTAAAGCCATTTCCAGACACGCTGATTTGCAAGCTAGGAACTACTTATCCATTGCTACCCTGGAGCTAACAGGGTGTTAGAATACTGAAAACAAACGAGGCAAACTGAGCTCATCTCCACATCTGACAGTTTTACCTTGCTTGTCAAGCTCTCAGTACTATGCCTTTGCTTCATGCCAAGCAGAAAGGCCTCTCTTCTTCCACTGCTACTCAGAAACAGAGATTAATAGAAATCTCTCTGCCAGTGCTTCCTCCCTGTGACTTCCTGTTCAATTCCACACATCTGAAGGATCTAAAAGTCTTCTGTACACATCAAAACTTGCAGCTTTTTATGCCAAGTCCAAGCTAAGCTATTATCTTCTGACTTTATTCCCTCCTTATCCAGTCACACCCAGTATGTGTTCCCCTGGCAGAGGATTTGGGGAGGTGTGGTTTGTGGGTTGGGACCCCTCAGTCTGGGCACAAGAAGGCAGTGAGGAAAAGGGACAAAGCCTGGGAAGATGGAAGGGGCTGTGCTCCTTCCCTGTCCCACTGCTGCTCCCTCACCCTCAGAGGAACAGACACAGTGAGCAAACAGGGGACAAAGGGAGGGAAGAAGATGCCTTACCAGTAAGAATTGATAATCTTGCAGAAGACCAGCTCACAACACATTTTCAGGTTGCACTGATGATCTGCTAATTCACTCTGTGAGCACCTGCTGGGATCTGCTTCACAGTTTTCATCTGACTCATACACAGCCTTGATAAACTCCCCTGGAATAAGGAAAGAGGATGAGGAACCAGGGTAGTTACAGGAAAAGCTTACTTGACACACCTTTAAATCCTGCTTATGTCTTTCCCTGGCAGCTGCCTGTGCTGCTCTGGGTGTCTGCAGCTCAGCCTCCAGACACCAGCTGCTGGGGACACGACTCCTCCCAGCCCTTTCCCAGCAGAGCACAGCCTGGGCTCTGATGCTTCAGCCTCCCATGCCCTTGCTGTCCCCAAGCACAGGTGCAAAAACAGGATGGCTCTGCTTAGCAACCCTGCAGGCACTTCCCTTATGGCCTGGAGAGGAGGATTTGATTTAGTATTCAAACTGTGTTATCAACTGTGAAATTATCCACGGTCCTAGGAATGAAGCTGTGTGCTATTTGTCTTCATAATTTCCCCAGAAATTGCACAGGCAATGATATTTATTTATATTATTTCTAAATATGCCTTTTTTTTTAATTTTAAAAAGTGTCACCTTGCCCTTGAATAAGAGTAATACCCAAGCAAAAGCTAGATGCTAATAATTTTCTCAACCTCTTATATCAACACCTTACAGCATTTTTATGGCCTGCATCTTTCAAGCTCCTTGGCATTTCCGTCACCCTTCCCTTTCAGCATCACAACAGAAACTGCTCACATACAAACCACATGAAGTTGGCTTTGTCTGACAGACTGGAATGAACTACTCAGTGGTTTCCCTCCTCTATATGCAGGCATTCCAAGTGATTTTTAAGCTGTTGGGTGTTCACTAGGAAAAACCCTTTATTCACTGGTTTAATGATTCAGTGTCTTTCAAGTTCATCTCCTCAGATGATCTCACTGGCTCTGAGCTAACACAAGGCTTATTTGTGGGAAAAAAGGGCTTGTTTTTAGCTTTTGCATTCCTAAAACCCCTTAAACACCTCTCAGACCCTTCCCAAATCTCAGCTTGGTGTTGTTGCAAGCAAAGCAGGCACCACATTTTCTTAATTTTTGCTGAGGGCATCTGAATCTCTTACTTGCAAAATTGTTGGCATCACTTTTGTTGAACCAATTCTGTTTTAACTCTTGTTTACTGGATAATATTTTTTTATCCTTAAACATATTTGAAGCTTACTCTTTGCGGCCCACAAGATTCAGATATAAGATTCCCTTACAGACATGTTATATTGCTAACACCAACCACAGTGTCGTTAATCCTTTCAAAGAATAGGGCAGCTGAGTAAAATGACATTTAAAACCTGACAAAGATTTAGATGGGAATATTGTCATGAGTGAAGTTGCCCTGAGCTGCAGACAAGCTGGACAGCCTTAGGGGCATTTTCCATCTCTCCTGCCTGTGATTTACCATCTTATCACTCAGTGCTAAATGATGTATTAGAAGTCATTAATGTTAAAATATTTAATGCAATTACTGCACATTAAGGAGCTTTTGCAGTCAGCTGTAATGGAGTGGTCCCACAGCTGACGTTCAGCCTGCTGGGAAGCACAGCACAAAGTACCAGGCTGCTTTTTCTCCATACCAGGTGAGAGCCTACAACTGTGACTTACACTCAGTAGTCCCACCCAGAATAGAATAGAGTAAGACCACCAGAAATGTCCAAACTGGATATAATCCCAGAGTTGACTACACTGGCCCTTGGAGCACTAATTTAGCCAGCTATCTCCTTGATGCCGTGCCAGCATCTGGGATTGCTGAGGACAAGCAAGACTGCTGGGAAAGCAGGCAGCTTGGCTTTTTTTCTCCTTTTTGTGAAAGGATGTGGTGTGGAACTTGGCTTTGGCCTGATCTTGTTTCTCTTGTATCAATTTCCAAAGTTTTCTTCAGCCCAGAAACAACAGGGGGTGGGTGGCTCATTGTGCAACTGTGGAGAAGGAAGATTGTGTGGAGCTGCTAAAGGCTGACTGTGGTGAGCCTGTGGAAGCCAGCCAGCCTGGGTTTGGTCCCCTTTACTGCTGACTTTGTGTGGCCAGGAATTCCCCAGGCACTGGGCTGTGACTAGAGCAGAACCTTTTGGTGGAAGAGGGACAATAACAAAGTTATCAGAGTCCACCCTGGCAAGTAACAGTGGGCCCTGGTGGGGAGAGTTGGAGATCCCAGGATGGCATGGCCAGGCACTTTTAATGAGTCAGTGAATAACGAGCACTCGGGATGAATGCAGGCAAGAGGCTTCCCAGAGAGGATGCATCTTGATCTCCTGTTGTGGGATGCTTGGCAGCCTTGCAGCCTCTCTCCCTGGCCTTGTCTCCCTAAGGACTATGTGTCAAAACCCCTTTTTCAAGCCTTTTTATATATCAGATCAAACAAGCACCATTCCTCACAAAGAAATTGCAGTGTTAAACCTATTTAGCATGCTAGAGACACGAAAGAAAGTTACCTAGAAAAACAGAACATAGTAATACAAACTTGAAGAGGGACTCAGCTACATCAAATCTTGCCATGCCTTGGGTGCTACTCATGCAGGCACCAAAGAACACCCTTCTGCATGTGGAGGAAGGGCACTGAGAGCAAGACAGTGCTATCTGTGTATGAGACACTCAGGCTGAGTGCTGAGGCTGTTTTTCCCATCCCACATTCCCAGCTGCAGCCATGCTGCAGACACAGCTCAGGGTCAGCCCTTGCTGTGCACAGGTTGCAGACAGGGGCTTTCTTACCCAGTGCATCCTGGAGGTACTTCTGTCCCACCAGCTTGAGGTATTCCTCAATAGCTTTGGTAGCAAGCGTGTTCTCCCTGAAGATCAAGACATCATGTTCTGCACAACGATCTACCTCAGCCATCACCAGATCTGTCAAGAAGTCCTGAAGCAAAAAGGCCAAATGGCAAAGGTGATTTTAACCAGCTCAGCTGTGCCAGGCTAACTGCAGAAGCCAAGAAGGAAGGATATTTTAGGATAATAAATGATTTCTCAGCCTGAGACAAGAGGTGCAGCTGCTACATGAAGTAAGGGCTGAGGAAATAGCCAGGTCTCCTCTTGAGTTTATTATATTTGAAGAATGATATAGATCACAAATTATAAAGGGTGAAGCAAAAGTCCCTAAAAAAAAAAAAAAACCTTTACAGCCAAGCTTGTGTTTCAGTTTAGCTCCAGAACAGAACCTCTCAGCAGCTTGTTTATCAGAGGCTTTGTCTGCTGAAAGAAACTGTGCTATTATATTTATCTTTATAAGGAATATTCCATACAAACATGGATCTAAAAATCCAAATTAGAAGTGACACACAAGTTATTACAGCTTGATGATATTTAAGTAAGACGAATGGCTCAATAAATTAAATTTACAAACCAAGAGTGCTTTAGGATTTGGGAAAAAAGAAGTTAACATTCAACTTAGTGGTTATCTACATGGCTTAACTCGAACTGTATTTGATTGTCCAGGCAGGAACTGTCAGCAAGCCTTGATAAAGAGAATAATCTCTTGATATAGGGTCTAATTCTACAGTAATACTTATTTCCTGAAGTGGTAACTTTATGTGACTAAACATTTAGTACTCTTGGTTTTCAGCCCATTATTGCTGTTTCTTTTCAACAAAATCCATAAGAATTCTTTTCACCTGGTGCAAACTGGGACCATCCAGCTGTATCCCCATCAGCAGAAGTATGAGCTGGAAACACCCTCTTAGGAGCTTTATGGCAGCCTGAGCCACCTGGTGCCTCCCATCAAAAGAGGTTCAAAACTTCACACACAGGAATGCAAAGTTATAACACTAATTTATCTACTTGTTGCAGCAGGCACTGCAGCAATCCAGAGCCTGTTTTCTAGCAGGGTTTCAACATAATCTTAGCTACCAGCTTCTCTCATCAGATCCCTTAAGGAACATGTTCCTGTCATCACACACAGGGCACCAGCCATCCCAAGATGTTTTCAAGGGGCAAGCAGAAAAGGACCTTTTCTGGAATAGTTAGGTGAGGCTGCCCCTTGAATGTTGTTTACAGCCATCCTTCCACATCTCTGTCTTTCTGATTTGTGCTTTACTTGCTCTAGCTGGATTCACTGGCAGAAGCTGCCTCCAGCATGGAGGCACACACAGCGTGGCAGCCAGATAGATCAATGCATGCTAATGCTTCCCAGAACTTCCCACGACCTGCAGCATACTCTCCCACAACCCATTTGAAGAAAGCAGTGTGCACCCAGAAGTCCTAAGAGCATGCCTGGGGCAGGTGGGATCACCATTAACTCGGTACAGATCCCCCAAATGGCTGCTCAAACACTGACCAAATCGATGCTGGCATTGATCTGCTGACTCAGCGCTGACTCAGCACCGGCACCCGCTGCTCACTGTACCACAGGCTTATTTATAGAAGCACTTCTCCAATTCACCAGCCTCCTGTTCACTTCTCTCTTAACCTACATCATGATTTTAGAAATGCAAGGGACACTCAAAGGTAGGTGCTGATTTTCACAATAACATGAAGTTATGGAATCTTCCCGCTTACACTTTGTACACCACATCTGCTCCTTACTGTCATGAGCCCTCCAGTTTCCACCAGAAGCCCCTTATCAGTAGCCAGAGCCACTCCAGACAAGAACCACCTTTGCTTACCTTGGCTCTCCCAGTGCTCTGAAGAATGTGCACCAAGGCAGAAGCCATCTCCTCCTTGTTCTTGACACTGATCACGGGTTCCAGCACGGAGCACAGCAGGGCGTAATTGCTGGTAACATACTCCCCAAATTCCTTGTACTGCTCCATGGGCAAGATGGTGATGGTCTGGTAGCGGGATTTGATCCGAATGGAAGGCCCCCCTGACTTGCCTTTGTTGGCTGTAGGGGTGCTGACTGGGTACCATTTCTCCACAAACTGGCGACCGGTCACGCTGGCCGTGGGAATGTTGACCAGGCCTACGTAATTGTTCTTGTCCTTTTTCTTCTTCTTCTCTACGTCCTTGTAGATGTGAACCGTGATGCTCTGAATGTGTGGGAGGCTGTAGAACTCAAAGTGCTCCCCCCAGAAAATGTTATCTGCTTTTGCTTTGCTGGTGGTGCGGGCAAAGAGGGTGTCATCAAGGCACAGCTCACAGAAGTATTTCTTCTTAGGGGTCAGGTCCTTGGCCTCTATGATCCAGAGGCGAAGCACGTTTTCAGCTCGACGGCAATTGTCCTGTGCAGAAGAAAGAGATCAGTTTTGATTCAAAACCCCTAAAAGTTCAATATTTCATCTCTGAAGCGGCAGCAAAGGTGCTGCCTTTTCTGTCTGAGGTAAGGACAGAGCCAGAATTCAAAATCAGATTGCCTGATCTAGAGAGAACTGAAATCTCTAGAAAACTGGACATTTTATAAAACAGAGGCAAAGGGCTGTCTTTTGTATGTCAAGAGTGTTGGAATATTTTTCTTCTTCAAAAGCTGTATTTGAAATGCTTTAGAAAACAAACACTCTGCATGAGAGCCTGTCCAAAGCTGCCAGACTGGTGAGAAATCCCAGAGCCCCGTTAGCCTGTCCCTGGGAGGCAGGGTTGCAGCTATGGAGTGACTTATCAGACATTTCCAGCTGATCTGCAACTTGATTCCTTTCTCACTCTGGCTCCAGTTGGTTTAATGTTAGTTTTTTTGGGGTCCTAGATTAAAACATGACCCTTAGGAAGCCGTGCCCCATCTTTCCCAGGTGCATAGCCTCAGAAATCCTGTCTGCATCCCAAGCTGGCTCTGGGGCAGGGATCAGGAAGCATGCTGGTGTGTATTTACTCATTAAAGGTCTGACCTACTGCACTCCCTGGGATAGCACATGGCAGCTTTAGACACACGGATGAGCGGACGACTCCCCAGACTAAATTAATTGAGGATGCATCTCTGGGAAGCCCTGGTACACTGGACTAAAATCCAATCATACCACCTCCATTCCCCCACTAATCTTATTTTTGCAGTTTCTATTACCTTCATTGGCTGCGATAGTCTGCGTATGTTTTCCATCCACCAGTCCCTCTCTGCTGCAGAGGAACAACTGAAGCATTTACTGCCCTTGGAGTAGGTTACCTGGAATGAATAAATGACAGACTGAGCTCAGGCAAGCCTAGGAGACATGGGAGAGGCTGCAAAAAGCAAGGAGGAAGATAAACAGTGCTTGAGGAACAAAGTAAATATGAAAAAGGGAGGTAAAAATACAGCGGCCTAGAAGGCAGAGAGGATGAAAGGCCCACAAAACGCAGAGAGCAAAAGAAGTTTGAGGTTATATAAAATTAGAGAAACTAAAGAATTTATATAAAATTAAGAGCACCACAGGCTCCTCTTAAAGACTTTTAAACAAAGCTTTAATCAGCTAGTTAGTATTTATTTTTTTAAACAGTTAATTGATCTGTGGCTATTAAAGCTTGCCGATTTCCCTGTCAAGGCCCAGGGGCACTTGATTTGGTTACTGACAATTCATTAGCATAAGGCAAAACACACCGGACATACAAAATATTTCCAGGAGTCTATATAGACAGCAACAGCCTAAACAAACTGAGGGAGCTGTGCTCTGCTCCAGCCCTGACAGCTCTGCTTTCCCACTCCAGGGAACCACCTCGGTTTCCTCCCCTCTTACCCGGCCTGACAAGCCTCATTTACTCTTTCCATTCATTTGTGCTCACAATTACAAACAGCCTCAGAGTGAAGTTGTTGCCAATGTTTTCCACCCAACTCCCCAAGCCTAAGCAAGCTGCAAAGTGCTTCCAACCAGAAGAATGAGGCTGAAGCAAACAGGAACAGTTCCTGGATGCATCATGAGGGACCAGAGCCTGATATGCTGGTTTACTGCCAAAATTTTCCAGGTTGTAAACAGATCTTTGTTGCAGAAGTTTAGACACATCTGACTAATCCTGCTGAAGACAGAGTGACCTGCCCCTGCCACAATGGGTGATGTGGCCTCAGCTGTACCCAAACACACAGGGCTGCACTGCTGGGGCTGTGATAGCAGGGCTGTGCTCACACACAGAGTTTCTGCCTTTTCTGGAGCAGAGCTCAGAGCCACAGCCTGCAGCCTCTGCTGAAACAGCAAAGGGATCTTTGGATCCTGCTTCACGGTGCAATGGACACGTGCACAGCCACTGAGGCTTCTTTGGCAACTGGAAAGCACTGAGCTAATGGAATGGGGCTCTGACTGGAAAACTAATTTATTGGTTACAGTAAATTTGATAAATTCAATTTTAGGTGAATTTGGAGAGGGTGAGCACACAGCTAATGTACATACTATGGCATATCCATTGTGCTGTATGTATCAACCACACATTTGCATGCACACTACAAATGCTTATCAAACTGAAGAGATTTTTCAATTAGGAAAAGACTTCTCTCTGTTGGCATCAGTGACTGATACCATTAGCCTCAAGGACTTCAAAAGTCACATGGTGGCTCCACATCCCCCACCCAAACCTCAGCAAAGCAGTGGCTGCTGCTCTGTTTTCCAGTCCCTCAGTCCTGCAGCAGCATTCCCCCAGGGTTCAGGGGGACTGGCAGCTGCCCGTTTTGGAGCCTGTCCCTACCTCAAAGCAGAAGTCTCGTCCAAGGATACTGTTGTGGAGTGGTTTGACAAAGACTGCTTCTTCTGCTGCAAAGTCCAGAGTCTCTATGGTGCTGGCTTGGTTCAGTAAAGACTCATGGGAACGGGACTCCTTCAGCTTGGGCAGCTCACGTGGTCTGTAGGACAAGGAGGAAAGGAAATGTCTTTTTTTCATCACAATTACCAAAAAGAGCTGGTAAGAGCCCAGACAAAGCTGCAGCTTGTCTCGGTGCTTATTCAGAGCAACTTCCACAATTAGTCTGCAGACCTTATGAAAATAACATTAGGCCAGTAACCCCAGACTCCCAAGGCAATTTCCAGCCTAGGAAGTCCATTCCCACTGACCTAGAAATTATAGCTGCCAAGTTGTCAGTGAAAGAACAGCAGCAAAAAATTCAGAACTTAACTACTGAAATTTTAAAAAAGCCCATATAGGTAGCTTTAGATGTAATACTGAAAATACTTGTTACTAGCTAGATTAGTAGACAGATGTTGTGTATTAGCAGCAAAGAGCACATGGATCCCTAAATCTGTAACCAATGCAGAATGAGGATTTCTCATTACAGCAGATGACCCTTCACAATGTATTTGATTTTTAACATAAAAAGCCTTTACACTAAAGTCAAATACAAAAATTCCATCCCACTTCCCAATTGCTCAAATCAGTCATTCTGCATTTTCTTTTTCAGCTGCTTCTTCCAACTTGAATTTCCAAATTTTGGATACTTTCTTTCTCTTTTAACTTCTCACTGACACCTGGCTGCTCTTCCTGTAAATCACTGAGCTCCACCAGAGCTGAAATCTCCCAAATTCACAGCACCTTTTTATCACGGCACTTTTCTCTTTGTCCCCACCAGTTCTTGAACACATCTCAAAGACATGTCCCTCCCTCCGCCATGCCACAGCTTTTGGCAATCAACAGTGACATTATCAAATGTGTTTTAACCCTTTCTGTACTCTCCCAATACGATTTAATGCAACATTTGTGCATAGTGGGGAGCTCTGCTGTCAAACAGCACTGCAAAATGTGCCCAATTTAGAGGTGATGTGGCTTCTCCTTCTGCCTCCAAACTGACACCTGCCCTGGAGGCTTCTGCAACAGTCATGTAACACCTGAGGCACAGCTTGCATCTCAAGGTAAACATCATGTGCAGACACCTCTTATTTTTCCTGTGGCAGGAATTCTCTCACATCCTTCACAGCTGACCAACAAGGAGGAGGAGCACAGAGTCCCAGCTTAGCAGAGAAGGAGCTGTTGACCTGGCAGGTCTGGCTTTTGTTAAAATCTTGAAGTCCCTGTGCTCAGTGATCCCTGAAGGCGAGTCCATAAATGTGCCTGCCCATCTAGCAAGTGTGACTGGGCACAAGGAACAGATGTGGAAGTAGAGAGGCATCAGCTCTCTACACATCCCTCAGAGAAAGACAGTGCTCCTGTGTTTGTCCTCATAGTATTTCCTTTTTGATTCAATTCCCAGTATCAAATGGAAAAGGTTAAGAAAATGTTATTTATAGAGGAAAGAAAAGCACAGCTACCTCTAACAGCTTCCCTAATTTTGAAAAGTAATTAGTTTCTGTACACTTCCCTCACATATACGAAATAAGAAAGTTCCTCACATTCATTATCCTTAGCAAAATCAAACTCCTCCTACCTGTAAGCAATTCTATAGGGGAACTCAGAGGCAAAAAAATCCCCAAACATTTGGAAAAGGCATCTTAACGAAGGCTGCTTAAGAAAACCTTGGGCACCATAAAGGACACAGGCAATGCAACAAGCAGAGCTCACCCAGCTGCTCCTTTGTATGGAATGAAGCACTGAAGGTATTGGAGCAGATTCACACACGATAAGATTTATGAAACAGTGAGGGAGAACTTTGTTCACATTTAATATACTGAATGACCTAAGTGCAGGCAGCAAAACCCTTTGATGGGAGGAATATTCCAAAGACACTGATTTCAGATGCAAAGCAGCAGCCTCAGTAGGAGCTTTGGCTGTGCTGTGCTTTGTTCTAACAGGTTCCAGCAGCAGCTGAACCAACGCAAACCCAAACCTCAGCCATGTATAATTGAGCACTTGCTGCAGTTAAGGTAGGGCAAGTCTAAAATAAACACACCACAATACGCCACTTTAATGTCATCTCTGCAAAATCCTCTCTAATTTCTCCTCTCAAGAAAGCACTGCTGAGGTCACTTGGCTTCTGTCCCTGCCTCAAACTCTGAGCAATTCCTGTCCTTACAAAGTACTGAGAGCCTGGAGCCAGCGCCCGGTCAGTGGAGGAAAGCATGGAGTGAACACAAAGAGGGGTAAGAGGAGAAGGGAAAGAGAAATAATTACCAAAGAAAGGAGGGGGAAAAGAAAAAAAAGGTATGTAGCAAATTCCAGTTAAGCAGAGGCTGCACATGGAGCAAGACAAGGCAAGCAGACCTACACGAAACAATTGTAGAGCCACTTAGCAGAGCATCTCCAGATCATAGCGGTGCCACATGCCACAGCCCTTCCCTCCAAACTTCCTGCTCTCTGCTACATCTCAGACAGCAAATCCTGCCCAGAGAGGAAGAAAGGCACCAACAAATCCAAGAGGAGTTCTTCCTCAAGCCTCAGGTTACAGATTTCGGAGCACCACCGTGCCAGGCAGATAGGCTGGGGCCAGGAGAGCAGCCACAGCTATGGCGAGGAAAGCTGTCTCCTTGTTGAGGAAAGCTCTCTCCTTGTTGAGGAAAGCTGTCTCCTTGTTGAGGAAAGCTGTCTCCTTGTTGAGGAAAGCTGTCTCCTTGTTGAGGAAAGCTCTCTCCTTGTTGAGGAAAGCTCTCTCCTCGGTGAGGAAGGCTCCCACCCCACAGTGCCTGAGGCTCCTGCCTGCTCCTGGGTTACCAAGGCACAGCATCCCCTAAGGAGACTAGGGGGGGCTGGCAGCCAGCAGAGGCAGCAGGCAAGGGGAGGCTGCTCTGCAGGCGTGGCTAAGGTGACCTTCCCAGACAGAGAAGTTCCTCCTTGTCCTTTCCTACGAGTTTGATGAGATCCAGACATTAAAGGCAACATGAGAGAGCGAGGAATCTTCCAAGAAAGCCTCCAAACAGCCTCTAGGAACAGAGCAGGGGCAAAGGCAGGTATGCACAGCAGATGTACTCCAAGCCTGCACATCCCATCTTGCAAGTCACACCTTTTAGGAGCATCTCTTCTGCTCCATTGCTCTTCTGACTAGTGGGCTGTGAGCATTTGGGTTTGTTGCAGAGCAGCTGGAGCACTGGTAGTTTTGTTGACTCAGGGTCCCGTGGCAGACAAATGCCAGTCTGTTCCAGCAATCCTTTGAAGTTATCATATTTAAAACAGCTCAATAAACTGATGAAGTTGTTTAGAATTGGCACTCTATCTTCCATAAACATCAGAACATCCTAAAGCTGTTGGTTAGGTGCAACCACATGCATTTACAAACACAAGTACATGCATTTGTGAGCACCACAGTATAGATTTCATCTATTGATAGATCTGCAAAGCAAATCTTTGACTTGTGCCTATATCAGCAGCATCCCAATCAATACAGGCAATAATTATACAGAAATAATACTTCTCTGCTGCTTTAAAGCCTCATCTGATATGCTGAATCTGTAAGAAGGAAAGAAAATTGCTTGCTGGCTTCCTTTTGCCATAGACACCACTAATTCATGTGCCAGTGTCCAGCAAAGGGGCTGGATTAACAAGGTCCTTCCTGCATTAGGTAGGAAGCTACTGGGAAAATGAGTACTGCTCAGACTCTGTCAGCAGAGAGGTAATCCCAGGAAAGCAGATTACTGTAAACAGGAAGATCACACATGCAAAAAGTGGGGGAAGGGTTGTTTGTACAAATCTGTTTCTGTTAAACAGCTCCATTAACAACACAAATCCTGTTTTAAATTACAACTAACCTCCCATGATCAACTTCTTATTCTGTTGCCTTTTCTATGTCTGTAAGCAACAGAGAATGCAAAGGAACTACATGGGAGTTCAAATAGTTACCAAAGCACCAAATAATTATTATACATTCTCCATAATTCCTTTCCCATAGGAAAAAGAGACAGACAGAAGAGGAGCATGTCAGGGAATATTTTAAACTGCTCACCTCTTTTCATATGTTTTGGAGTACTGGTCTTCAGAGCTGCATCACTTCCTTGTAAATCAGAGCCCAGACAATGCCCTAAACCACTGACCTGGCAGCAGCACGCAACTGCCACTGAAAAAGAGCTCTCCAACCACCCCATCTTGCTGGCCCAGCCCCAAGCTGACCCCTTCTCCTTGCACACCATAATTCAGTAAATTTCCATGACAGAAAGATCTCGGTTGTAAGCTGGGAACTGGAAACCTCTGGCTTTCAGAGCCTGCCCATGGCACACAGCAGCCTATTAGCAAAGTTCTATTATATTCTACTGTCTATGAGGCACGTTGAATAAAGGGTTAAAATTCTAATTGCTCTGGTTATGAAGCTCTCCTGCTGATTTTGACCTATTTAAAAGCCAACCTACAAGGCACAAAAGACTTCCAATTACCGAGCTTACCAGGGAGAGCTCTATATTACTTGTAAAACAAGCCTGTGGACATCAATAATCCAAAAGATTTGAAAAAAAAAAAAGTTTAATAATGAACTTTCCTTTACCAAACTGGTGTGAAAGGAAAGAACTCAGCCCAAGCACCCAGCTACAGCCAAGTCTCCAAACTGCCTTAAACCAAGCTGCTCATCTGCATGCTTCAAATAACTCCAGCAATCTCCATGTGCTGGGAGACACACCCCAAGAGCAGACAGTCAAATTCAATACTTAGCCACTCTGCAAAGTCACAGGAGAGAGCCTGGACTGTAATGCAGTGAACTCTCTGCTGTTATCCCAGCTCCCAGCCCTGTGGAACGGGACCCTACCGTTTCCAGCATCACCTGCAATTCACCTGTGCTCTGCCCGTGCTGCAGCACCAGGTTTTTCCCTGTCCAAATGCTCATTTTGTAGGCACCACACCCCTCTTCATTTTCCAACTGCCAATTATCTGAACATCCTATTACTTGGTCAACAATTCTACAAGTCTAACCAGTTTTATTATTATTTTTTTTCTTTTTTGAAGAATCGGAAACTTAGGGTAACTTATTTATCTGCAAGTTATACTCAGGTGTGATTAAATGCTGCGTTTTTTTTTGAATATATTTTTCTAGTCTTCCACTGAGATTCTGGTGTTTTCTGGCAAGGTCCAACCCAAAGCCTCATTGTTTGAATCCTGGATTTGCAAAGCCCTTCCCTGCCTGCCTGCTCTCCCTGCAGATCACAGCTTGTCTAACAGACACCTCTCAGGGTTCAGCCAAGCAGGCTGCTGAATTTCACAGCAGGAGAGCTCTCCTCTCTCCTCTGGTCTCTGCTATTAACATTTCCAATTGGTTTGTTTTGATGGACCAGAAATGCTTAATTGATGCAGTTTAATTTCCCTGCTAAACTCAAGGTGAATGCTTCATGGAGGAGCCTGGGCTTTGCAGAGAAGCATCAGCCATTAAGAAAAATGTATTTACAAAGGGGTCAATAAGCTTGCAGGTGGGAGAGAGCAGCCCAGCACTAAGGGGAAGGTCTGTGACAAACACTGGGGTCTTGTTCAGTTTTTAGTGAAAAAACCAAACAACTGCTGAAAGAAATATGTTCACCAAACCAGGAGTGAGGCATCCCTCCAGAAACAAACCACTCCTCCCTCCCCTTTCCCCACGCTCCAGTGTGCTGATAGCTACAGATATGCTGAATGAATGCAAGCTGGGAGTGAGTCAAGCCTTAATAACGCATTGTGTAACACAGATTTCCATCCTGACAGCTAAATCAGGGTGAAAATCCCCCACCCTTTTTTTCAAAAACCGGCATTAAATTAGAACGGACCTGAAAAACACGGCAGATTTTGCTTCTATGATTTACCTGTGCTATTTTCTCATTGCAAAGAGGCAAGGAGGGAGGAACAGGAACTTACCTAAAGTAGAAGAAGCTGTGGCTGGAGGAGTGGTACCGTTTGACCATGAAGCCCAGAGCCATGGCTACCTGCTTCCCTGTGCCCTGCCAGAGCCCATTCCGAGCCCTGCTACCCCTGGCTCATAATGCCATAAAATGACTTTTAGCAAAGCAGGAGGATTCCCACGTGGCTGTAAATCCCAACAGGGCAAAGCCCTCCCAGCTGTCTGCAGAGCTTTGCTGCAGTCACTGAGACCATATGCAGCCAGACACAATCATCTTTGCTCCCCCTCTGTAAACAAAACTGCTGGTCCTCTTGGAGATACTCTCAAATTCCTCGCCAGAAACTGGAAATATTAATTTGGTCTCTCCTTTCAAACAAAATTTTCCTTAAGCATTTTCTCATGCTTTTTTTACATGTTTTATATATTATGGACACTGAGAAAACATTACAGATGCCTGTGTGAGTTGAAAAGCTCAAAGGATACAGGAGGAAACAGGCTGGAAAAGCTGTGAAAGATGCCACAGTGACACGGTGCCAGGATGCCTCATGGTGAGAGCTGTTGGCAACCTGGTGAGATGCTGCACTGGCCACGCATTGAGGAGCCTCATTCCCACCTGCCCTGGCTCACAAAGGAGTCCTGGCTCACAGTCTAAGTCCTGCTACATCAATGTCTTGTAAAGACAACAAATTCAAGCACAAAAAAACCACCAGCAAACAACCCGAGCCTGAGTAACAGGAGGGATGTGAATTACAGACTGAGAGGTTATAGATTTATTCCTACAGGACACCTGGATGCTGATCCATGTTTCTAGAGGGGCACCAGAACTCTCTCCTCTCCCTATCCACTAGCCCAGACACACTGAAATAAAGTTAAAAATCAGAAAAGGTACATTGGCCAATTGCTTTCTGCTGAAACAGAAAATCTGATTACAAAGAAATCTGCAACTCATCGCCATCCCTGCTCCCTACAGCATTCCTGACTCCCTTCTGTTTTAAATCAACTCTGAAGGGACAGCATCCATCCTCTGTCATTGTCCAGCATGGCATGCAATGTTACAGTATCCCAAATCTTGATGTGCACCAGGATAACTAATCTTCCTTAGTCCAGAATTTTAGAGGTATTTATCTGTAAAATCTCCACTTTCTTGTCAGGTCCCGAACACCCCATGAAAAGGCAACATGACAGCAGCCTCTATTTTCCTCTAACCCATGCAGGTTTTAATTTATGAAGCTGTATAATACTTTCTTTGAAGGCAGGGCTCTTGTGTTTGTCAGAGCAAGAAAAGGGAGATGCTATCAGTCATCCTGGCCCTGAAAACCTGTGTAACACCATGACATCACCTAGAATCACCTGCTTGAAACGTGAAAGGCCTGACTCACCAGGGCAGGGCAGGAAAGTTCTCACTGCTACAGACTGAGAGGCTCATGCAGAATGGGGGAGAACAGAAGGTGAGAGAGTGGCAATTCCTTCTCATGAATTTAGAGCCAGCTCTATGTTCAATAATGCCACCATGTGATCAAGTACCTGGATTTTATGCTTTTGTGCTTTCAGACCATCAGAGAAAATTCACATTTCATTTCAGTCTAGTTGAAAATTTGTGCCTACATTGGCAGGGAGTAGAAGGGGGTCTGCTTTATAAGAGAAGGCAGCTTTGCTGTGTGTAACATCATGTCTTAAACCAAAGATGTAGGAATTAATTACAGCTACATTTATTAGCTTTCCCAGAACAACAGTGCTTCCCTGACACTACAAAAGCAAGTATCCAGCATGAGTACCAAGCTCAGGAAAGACAACCAGATTATTTGTGGCAAAGAAATTTTCGCATTACAAAAATTCAAGCAAAGCTGCTTCCAAAAAATGGTAAAAATAACAGGTACTTGATTACCTGGTAGCATTATTTAAGATGCTTATGCTCACTAAGTTGCTTTTGTAGCCACGTTGCAACACCCTGAAAATAGAGATTTACAGGAAAACTTGCATCAAAGCAGCCTGGGTGGACTACAGGAGCAATGCCATCTAGATGGTTAGTCACATCTGGTAAGCAGCAGGCTTTTCTGTAACTCCTGATGTTAACAGACCTCCAACATCCACAGCCTTGCTAGCTCTGTGATTTTATGGTCTGCCTTTCAGATGGAGAAGGCAGCACCATTGATTGAAGCAGCACAGCGTGACAGATACAACTAATGAATTCAGCTCAGCTAAAGGAAAAGGGAAAATGCACTGAACAATGTCAAATCACAGAAGCCTGCCGTGGCCTCGAGTACAGGCCAACTTACTTTTCACTCTATCTGCTTCTCCTGCTGGGCTACCGTGGAATGTGGCACAGAATATGTTTAATAAAAACAGTCAAGGGACTTTGCAAACAGTTAGGAAACACTGTGTGTAAGAGACTTTGCTTGCCTCTTATAAATCCATTCCCAGCCTGGTTCTCCAGCAGAAAGCTAAACAAGCAAAGATGACCAAATGGAGTACTAAGATGATCAGAAATTAATGAGTTTTCCAGTTTCCTGAAAAACAGATCACCTGTTCTTTGTGGTAACACTGCAATAACCAAAACACCAACACTGCAAGGGTCCTCAGTGTTCCTGAATTGCACTGCACCACTCTGGGCTGTGCCAGCGCTGGTGGAACCACCCTGCTCACACCAACACAACTCCTCATCTCACCACAGCACTGGCCTGCAGGCAAGCCCTGCATGCAGCAAGGCAAATTTCTCTCCAGTTGATCAATCCCATGGTTTTGTATCATAAAATTGGAAGTCTGCAGCTTATTTGAAACAGATGCAGGAAAAGGTACTGGAGTCCATCTGCTTAACCTGAGCTTTTTGACAGCTGTGAAGAGCAGCAGTTTCCCATCCTGTATCAGCAGCACACTGCACACTAAACTTCTGACAAGCCAGAGGCAGCCCCACAACCCCACCTCGTGCCAGCTGGACAATAAATCCCCTTGTGGCTCTCCTCCCTGAGTGCACTCACGTGTTGGGTGTCAGCCCTGCACCTTACCTGTCCTCAGAATTGTTGGGAGAGGGCAGACGGAAACTTATGTTCCTGTCCAGCTTGGATTGACTCTTTGTCCTCTTGATGGATCCCTTCAGGCGCTTACTGAAGAAGCCCTAAAATGAGAAGGTGCAGAAATGAAACAGGGAAACTGATGCCAATAATGAATCACTCAATGCACTGTCACTGAGCCCAAACACAGAGGTTTGATGCCAGTCACGGGACTGGGATTGCTCTGAGCAGGAAGAAAGGCAGGGCTGGATTGTCAGTGACAGTTCCAGGAGGTGAAAGCCTCAATTGCAATAATTAGCACTACTCACATTACTGGGGCACTTCAATGGATTCCAACTATTATACAAAAGACCCAAACCCCACAGTTACCATTTAAAAAGGAGCAATCTTCAATATCAGTATTTGTCCCTACTTCCCCTCTACATGCCATGTTTTTAATTCTTGGTGGGCTTAAAAATACAGAGGTCTTATGAACTTCTATTGAACCCACAACTGCAGCCAGGTTTGCCTTTTTAATTGAGATATAGCACATTAAATCTTAAAATAATTCATAACTTCAATAATCTGGCTAGCCAGAATAGAAAATTTCAAAGCATTTCACACACCAGTGGCTTCAGATGTCAGTTATAATATTGGTAAGAAGCAAAGCTCAATTCAAAAATCTGCTTAGGATCTAAAAATAAAATAAATTTTCAAAGAATTTGTCTTCAGACTACAGTTGTTCACCCAACAATCACAGTTAGTTGGAGGGAGCCTCTGAGATCATCTCCTGCTCGATGGGGATGTACTGCCAACACTAGGTCAGCCTAATTCTGACTTGGTCTAGCCAAGTACTGAAAACCTCTGGAGACAGAGGGAACTAAGGAAGGGGAATCTGCTTTCTGCATCTGAAGACTGTGCTACATTTAAGACTGCCCTTCAGTTTCTGAGCCAGAGGCTCCTCAGGGATGAAAGCTGCTACATTCTCCTGATAAAGTGGACAAGAAAAGGCCTGATATCCAAATACTGACACCCCCCCACCCAAAAAAACCCCAAAACAAAACCAACAAGAAAAAAAAAACAAAACCAAAGCAAAAAAACCCACAAAAAACAAACCTCACAAATGTATACAATGTGCTGAGAGCAAAGGTACTATCAAAAGGGAAGAAGTGCTTTCAGCTCTGTGTGCCACTCACACTCAGCCCATGATGCTGCACTTCTCTTGGTCCTGGTATTGAAAAAGTGCCCTTGAAAAAACCCTTTAATCAATAGATGCTCCTGGGCTTCTCTTGGGGCAGTTGCTGGAATTCAAGTAGAGGATGTACAGCACTTTCAAAGGCACTTTTGTATATTCTGACCTCTCAGCATAAAAGGTAACAAACCCAGCCACAGGGATTCAGATCTGGTGGACCCTGGCTTCAGTCCAGTACCTCTCAGTCTACTCCAACTGCAAACATGAAATACCACAGCCTTCTCCCCTTAAGGGCAAATAAGACAAAGCTGACCCAATTCAGCAGGGGTCCAGAAGGATTTATATTGAATAATTCCAAATCCCACTCAGAGAAGGATGGTGAATATTCATCTTTGTGTGCATGTACAGTTTGAAATTGGTACTGCTTTCACATGGAACATGCTCTTGGTTTAATTGAGCATAATCTATACCCCAATGAAACAAATGTTCTATCTGGGGTTGAATAAGGTTAACCGGAGTTGACTATACAAAAACAAACAAACAAACAAAAAAATGAAACGAAAACCAAGGAGGATAAGAACATACTTAAAGACAAAAATTTATTCAAACAAAGGGTGTGCTTATTGGTCATCCTCAAGAGTTGAAAACCTTTGCAATATTTGCTCTGTGCTGGCAGCTCATGCAGGGCCAGTGCTTACAGATGGACAACCTGGGAGCAGCATGAAAAATTCACACGTGCCAGAACTGAGCAGCGTTTTTTGATTTCCATTTGCCAAAGGAAATGCTTTTAAATACTGAATGCAGATATATAAAAGATGTAGTGATGAAAAACAAACTTCTATCTGCAACAATACCCCCTAACTGGAAGTTTTATTTCCTTTTACTCCTATAGACAAGAAGTCCCTGCCAATGTTTATAAAGCAGCCTGCACTACTAAACATACAAAACCATCTTTAGTGCTTTTCTTATTGTCTAGGTATTTCTCCTAAATAATTATTTCAACACAAAACTGACTCTTGTTTGGTTCTTATATCCAAATGTAATGGAGTGTCTGAATTTTAAGAATCATCATGGAGCTTCTTTAAAACAGTGGGAATTTTACTGCTTAAACAAACACCATAAGACAAAAAGATGTAAGTTATTACCCAAACTGCACGAATTGATGAGACTATGTTCTTAATCAAAAAAAGTACAAAATATTTGGTAGGATCAACTAACTAATTAAGATGAAATTTTCAAAGGGACAGATTTGAGGTTCACACTTAATGAGATGGAGCTCAGTGCAAGTTGCCCTCAGAATCACAGGTTTAGGGGAACAGGGATGGAAAAGAGAGATGGGGAGAGAGTGATGGTGCACAACCAAACACACAATCTGGAATAGGTCAGGGCAGGTTTGTCACCTCAACCAACAGCATCAAACACTGGCCTAAGAAAGCCCAATGATAACAATCTCTAAAAATAATTCAGTCCCACTGAGAATTGTATTCATCTCATTTGGAAGTTAAGCCACTCGACTCCCCTGCTCTGCCAAGAAGCAATCTCCACAGGAGAAGGGATAATTCAGCAAGCTGTTGGAAACTTCCCCTCATAGCTGCACAGGGAAAGCACAGAAACTCTCACCCCAAGTACTTCCAACCCAGGAGTGGTGGTTGTTGAGGGCAGTTTTCGCTTTAGGAAAAGATGACTTTGTGCCAAAGATGCCAACTAGCTGTTTGTCCTTAACCCGAGCAGAGCAGCACAGGAACTGTCTGACAAATTCAAAGACAGCCCAAGTATGAGCTACTCAACTCCTGAACTGCTGCTCCCTATGGACATGATGATTCTCCACTCCAGGGAGAGCAGCCCATGCATAATAAATAATGATTGTCCTGGCTGTTTGGAACAGGAAAGGTGAACTCAGCCATGAACAAATGAAACCGTGTATAACCATAACACAAATCAGCCAATATTGATAAAATGCAATGGTATCAGTGGAATTTCAAAGCACTAAAAGTAGTGTAAAACGGGCAACAAAAAAAGGTCCATCTTACACACAGTGCTGTCACCTACATTAGCTCTTTCTGGGGACAAACACACTGCATCTGAGCCTTGCAACACATCTTGAACATCTGTAATTCTTGATGAGGAGCACCAATGCATTATTAATAACACCAGGTGGGTAACTTCATTTACAGAGCCATGAGATTCATCATCTCTGAGAGGAAGGACTGGATGGGTACAAAGATAACCCTCAAGTGACTGTGGATGACAGCAGAACTGCCTCCTCACTAACATGTGTGGTGAGGACATGAAGCATTTTATTCCTTAAGCTGTTCACAAGCAGCTATCAAGGAAAAAAATAGTGTCAGAGCCAAGTGAAAACACTGTCCTGTGCCAGTAATGTTGTAAAGCTATGGGAAGGCAAAGAAGCAGGGGAAGATGGCCAGGTGGTAAAATGGAAAGATCAAACTAGAAAGATATTCCAGGAATGAGCAAAACGGTGAAGTTTACTATTCCTTGCAGAACAACAGCAAAAGGTGAATTTAACTTAGCAAGGTGAAGTTTACTTATGAGCCCAGTAACACTCAGCATTAAAATATGAGCAGTGACTCCCTTTGCAAAGACTCTGAACCACTCATACAGTAGAAAAGCAGATAAAAACAGCCTAGACACACTTTGGAGGTGATATACAGAACAAGACAGAGACCTACAGCAGCCACGTTCCACCATCTACTCGCCAGAAAGCCTGGCACTGTGGCACTGGAGAGGAGGTTTGTGCACAGGCACAAAACAATAAAAAGCATGTTTGAATGTCCAGAGGATAAAGCCCAATAAAAGCAGAGTGGTGTTATGTAAATCTGCCATAGCTTTGACACTAATGCATCACTCCTCTGATTTTCTCATCTCAGCAAGAAAGCTAGAACAAAACAGAACTCCAGAAGTATAAACTGATTAAAGGCAGACAAGAGGGGGATTTACAAATGATATATTTTAAAGACCAACTATTTATTTTAGGAACAAAGGCAAGATGGGATTACAGATGTATAAAACAAATGGAATGGAAATTACCTAAGCTTCACATGCACCCTGTTACATAAGAAAACCAAAGGGCAATTTAACATGAGAGGCAGCACGTTTCACTGATTGTCAGGAGACTTTTCCTAATGCTATCTATAAATGAGCCCATCCAATTCACCACCACAAGATATTATACAGACAAATTTTTTTCAGCAAGATTAAAAAAGGATTATGTGTTTATATAAGGAAGAATAACATATGTAGCTGCATTAGTCAGGTTTAAAAATAACAAGAGTGAGCAATAATCATGCTTCAGGACACAAGCTGATCAACAGCAAGGATCAGGAAAGATATTTTTCCCCTGATGGGACAGCACTGCAGATTTGGCCAGATAACAATTTCAACTTTCCAATGAAAGATGGTCTACAGCCACAGGAGAGATGCAGAATAGTAGGAACAAGTTTTGGAACAGTAATAAGAAACCCAAGGAAATGCAAGGGATATTGTAACAAGGGTACATTGGTAACAGACCTGTTAATAAAATTCATCATAGGATTGCATGCACTCTGCATGATGTGCAGCCAAAAGTCCTGCAGGAGTCGTATTTCCAAGTCACTGGGAATTATACTGAAAAATGCATGAAGAAGCAAGAGCTACCTGACAGCCAAGAGGGCCACATCAGCTTTTCAGATCCCAGTTCAGCAAGGTGTTTAGCATGGACACAACTGGGACCCTACCTGGCTGCCCTTGTGGGAGCTGCCCGCAGCAGGAACAGCAGATGGAAGGAGCAGCCTTAAAAGCCCCTCTCCAGGAATTAAGGAATAAAGGTAAAGAGGCTGGCTGGAGAGCCACTAAACAACAGTGATAAAAAATTAGCATGATAAGAAAACAGGCCACCTGAGCCTGTCAGGAAGGACAGGCAATGATTTCCTGACC